GTATTGACATCATTCTATCATTTTTGAGATTATATCCCATTACTGCTTTTCCCACTCTTTTGTTGACTATGAGGGCTACTCCATTCCTTCTACGGGATTCTTGCCCACAATAATAGACATGATAGTCATCTGCGTTGAATTCACCCATTCCCGTCCATTTTAGTTCATTGACGCCCAGGATGTCAATGTTTATTCTTGCCATCTCCTGTTTGACCACCTCCAGCTTACCAAGGTTCATAGATCTTACATTCCAGGTTCCTATGCAGTATTTTTCTTTACAGCATTGGACTTTCCTTTCACTTCCAGGCACGTCCACAGCTGAGCGTCCTTTCGGCTTTGGCCCAACCACTTCATTAGCTTTGGAGCTACTTGTACTTGTCCTCCGCTCTTCCTCAGTAGCATGTTGGACGCCTTCCGACCTGAGGGGCCCATCTTCCAGCGTCATATCTTTTAGCCTTTTGTTTCTGATCATGGGGCATTCTTGGCAAAGATACTGGAGTGGCATTGCCACTGCCTGCTCCAGGTGGATCGCGTTTAGTCGGAACTCTCCACTCTGACCTGTCCATCTTGGGTGGCCCTGCACGGGCCCCTTCGCCACGACAAGGCAGCAATCCATGAAGGGGAAGTTAGGAATACTCCGATAAATATATACATTTATTTATGGGAGTATTCCTAACTTCCCCTTCATGTTAAATAAGTTCAGTCAGTTCTTTTATAATTTAAGTTAGGAATACTCCCATAAATAAATTATAAAAGAACTGACTGAATTTATTTGACATATATACATAGGCGTGGGAGACACCTGCCCAAAATTTGGTGGTTCAACCTTGGTGAACATCGGGGTCCCGGCCCCCAAGGTGGCTTTTTCAGCCTCTCTGTGTGTATTCTTCAGGCCCTTTTCTGGAGAGGATTCCCACCACCTGGCCCCATCCTTGTGCCCCCTTCTCCTCCTTTTTACCACGCTCCAGCGTCTGCCCGAGGCGCTTGACTTTTGGGCCCAGGCTCGCTGGCGCCTTTCCGGAGCCCCTTCCCAGCCCGACAGTTTTGTGCTTCTTACAGCTGCCCCTTTTGGCCAGCCTGGCCCATGGTTCGCTTAAGGTCCGTGCAAACGTCCCCTTGCACAGGCTCCGTCGTGCGCACCCCCCAGGGATGGCTGGGCCTTGGGCATCCCCTTGGCCTTTCAGAACGGCCAGCTCCCTCTTTTTTTGGTAGCCAGGGCAGGTGGCGGGAGGCTGTTGGCAAGCAGAGGGATGAGAACCGTGGGCCAAGCGGTGCCCGCTCTTCTTCTGCAGGCCCATGGGCTTCTCCACACGGCGGAGAGGGACCCGGGAGGGAGGCTGCAGGATTTCACCTTTGCCGCCCGTGTGGGCGGGCGGGCCAGGCTGAGAGGCCATCCATCCCAAAGGTGGATAGAGGCTGGTTGGCCGTCAGTCCTCTTGCCAGGAGCCGAGAGTGGG